GGGCTTAAGGCTTGGGGTTCAGGGTTTGGCTTTGGCGGTTTCGGAATTGGGTGGTTTAGGGCTTCGGGGGTTTAGGGTTCAAGGCTTTGGGGGTATAGTATAGGGCTTTGGGTTCAGGGTTTGGCACGTTTTGGTTCTGGCCTTGGGGTTGAGGCGATAGGGTTTAGGGTTTAGGGTTGTGGGCTTGGGGTTGTGGGTCTGTGGTTTGGGGGTTAGGGACACAGCCTTTTCAGCGCAGCACACCGGTGGGGGTAGAAAAGGCATTCCTTCTTGTTCAATGAAATCTGGAGGTACTTGTGGGCTATAAACCACTAGTACTACCTAAACCCTAAACCCTGAACCCCAAAGCCCTAGCCCCAAACCCTAATCCCTAATCCCTAAACCCCAAACCCTACATGTTGGGATTGGTGGGTTCTGAGATTCGGGACTTCCGGATAGGGGTTCCCGAATCAAGCACCATCGACTTCAACTCCGGACCACCCCTAAACCCTAAACCGTTCACGGTTTAGGGGTTTAGGGTTTAGGGTTTAGGGAGAACCCGATACCCTGAACTCCGAAGCCTCGACTTCGCCGCAATCAACGCGAGTTGAGGCTGAAACCCTAAACCCCTAAACCCTTCCCTACAAAGAACCCGTAAAGGAAGCCTATTAAAAGGAGCCCTTACCAGAGCTCTTACAGGAACCTGTCAAGCAACCCCAAACCCTAAACGTTTCCAAACCCCAAACCCTAAACCCTAAGCCCTATACCCTAAGCCCTAAACCCTATACCCTAAACCGTAAGCCCTATACCCGGAGCCCTATACCCTAAAACCTGAACCCTAAACCCGTAAATTAGTCGCTCTGCTGCCTGGTCCTGTCTCTCGTTGAGCCAATGCTGCCGGGACAGCGTCTCAGCGCAAAAGCCCCGGAGCACCTGCTTAGTACCCTTTTTAACGGGTTTAGGGTTTAGGGTTTAAGGTTTAGGGTTTAGGGCTTAGGGTTTAGGGTAGGGTTTAAGGTGTAGGGTTTAGGGTTTAGGGTTCCTTATGGGCTCCTTATTTGAAGGATCTCTAAGGGATCTATAGGGTCTAGGGCTTCGGGGTCATGGGACTTCGCAAGCAAGGCTACAAGTACCTTCATTGCGGTTATACGGAAGAATGGCCTTGAGAGGGATCTCTCAAAGATCTTCAGATAAGGGCTCTTTAAGATAAGTGCGGTATGATATAGCCCAAAATCCTATGATAACCATAGTACACCATACTCCCCGAAACCCTATGATAAGTATAGCATACTATACCCAAAACCACAAACCCCTAAACCCCTAAACTTTTGAAACCCTAAACCCCCCTAAACCCTAAACCCTAAAACCCTAAACCCCTAAACCCTAAGCCCTTGAACCCTAAACGCTAAACCCTATTCTCATCTCTAACTCCCAAGGCCCCTACATTAGCGTCCTCAGGGCTTCGGAGTTCAGCGCGGGGGATAAACCAAAAAATCCCTAGGCGCGAGGGGTTAGGGTCTAGGGTTTAGGGCTTAGGATTTAGGGTATAGGGTATAGGGTCTAGGGTTTAGGGCTTAGGGTATAGGGTTTAGGATTTAGGGTATAGGGCGCTGGGGTTTAGAGTTTAGGGTGTCGGGCATACTTGGAGCTTCAGCTTCAGCTCTGCCTTTTCACGGGTTTCATCCTGATCGCCTGATCCCTGCACCCACATCCTACTTTCCAAAACCCGAAACCCTATACCCTAAATCCTAAACCCTTTTCCCTATACCCTAAA